AGTTGGTCTTAGGGAAGGGGTTACTACTTCATTTTCAAATACTGCTAAATGTCTGGTCCAGCCACATACTGCAGTTGACAATCCTAGTAATTTTGGGGTATTTGATGATAGTCTGCCTTCAGAAGAGACAACTAAAGAGAAGTATAGGTTTGATAGTGTAGATAAAAGCATATCTGTGACAAATTCAGATTCCGATAGCCAAAATTTGAATTCCTTAGATGTAGAGGGACAATTTAGAAATGTCTCTGGTGCTGTGGAGTCTCAGTGTACTGATAAATCTCCCAAATCTTTTCCATCACCAAATATGTCTCAAGAAATAAATGGTTCTGTTGGAGCAGCTGATGCCCAGGGTAACCACCATAAATGTGAGGGAAGGGACATGTCTACACCTGTGACATGCCAGCAAGGTGGGGTGCCAGTTGATGCTTCACATATGGTTTTGAATGAGTCAGAACCCTATCACCTTGAGCTCAATGCCATCAAGCGTGATATTTCACTATTGCAAGACTCCATAACTAATGTAGTATCACAGCTGCTGAAGCTCTCTGTTCGCCGGGAATTTTTGGGCATTGATTCCATCGGTCGATTGTATTGGGCTTCAACTTTGCCTGGAGGACATTCACGTATAGTTGTTGATGCAAGTGCTGCACTGCTTCATGGAAAAGGAATGTCATTTAGCAGAGACTATGTGGAGAAGTTTTCTGTTCTGCAGAATTGTTCACTAACTGAGAAGGATTCCTCTCCTTTCATGTCTCAGCTTAGAAATGCTTTGGTCAATAGTGCACCATGGATTGCTTATGAAACTGATGCTGAAATTGAAGAGCTCTTAGGTTGGCTGGACGATAATGACCCTAAAGAAAGGGAACTGAAAGATTCCATTATGCAGGGGCCAAGATCAAGATTCCAAGAGTTCCTTAATGCAAAGACCGAAGAGCAGGTTGAGGACCAGGGACCTGTTTCTATTCCCAGAAATAGAGAGAAAACAATATCTAACTCTCTTGTTACAAAGGCGACTTCCTTGCTGGAAAAGAAATACGGTCCCTTCTTTGAATGGGATATTGAGACGTGGAAGAAGCAAAATAAAAAGTCCAGAACAACTAATGATGAAAAGTTGTTTAGGTGTGAGTGCCTTGAACCCATATGGCCCTATAGGAAACACTGCACATATTGTCACAAAACTGTTTTGAGTGATGTTGAATTTGATGGACACAACGATGGCAAGTGTAATGCAGGTCTTCCGGTTGCAGAGAAGAATAGGAACAAAATTGGATCTTCTAAAGGAAAAGGGAACTTAACATGTGATGGCTCACGAGAGAAATTCAGAGCTGATGCAGAAACATCTGGAACCAAAATTGGTGGTGGTTCTAAGCTTAGCTCAAGAGTGATTAAATTTTCAAATGAAGAATCCACATGCCCATTTAATTTTGAAGATATATGTTCCAAGTTTGAGACAAGTGATTCCAACAAGGAACTTGTCAAAGAAATAGGTCTTATTGGTTCAGATGGTATCCCTTCCTTTGTTCCTTCTGTATCTCCTTTTGTTAGCGAGTATGCACAATTCTCAACTTCAAAGGATGACATTATTGGTGTTTTGTCCAAACCAACGGAAAGCTGGGGTTCTCAGGGAAATACTGATGGAGCTGGTGCATGTCTTGACCATAATTCAGGAATTTCTACTGGTAGGTTAGCTGTCAACGAAAGCAATAAATCCATTAAATCCTCCTCCTCGGGAGAACAAAGAGATGGGAAATTCTCTTTTTGTGGTCCTGTTTCAGATATGGGAGATGGCTGCTGTGTGGTTCCTTTGTCGTCATTGAAACCATTAGTTGGAAAGGTTTCTCACATCTTGAGGCAACTGAAGATTAATCTGCTTGATATGGATGCTGCACTCCCGGCATTTGCTCTGAGACCATCAAAGGCCGAGTCTGACAGAAGACAGGCTTGGCGTGCATTTGTGAAATCTGCAGAGACTATATACGAGGTTTGTCTTATATCCGTGGCTCTGGAACATACAGTTCTCTATTAACTGGCATTGCCAACTCCACATGTTTCTCATTCGTTTAGTTTCTGTACTGCTACTTACCTGACTGAGATGCCTTTATTCTTGATAGAAAATAATTCGTGGACTTAATAATGCGACTTTGCTTTAACTCCGATATCAGTGAAAAAATGCTGTTAATATATTTATACTATATTTGTAGTTTAGTGATTATATGAATTCATCTGTATGTATACTATTAACAAAGGGGATTCACCCTTTTGGTGTACATTTTTTTTTTCAGTTTTATCCTTTTAATAACTACTTTTTAAAATTCAAATAAAATACTATTTGCGAATTTTACCCTTTTAGGAACTATTTTTTTTTTGTATTCATAATAAAAAACCATTTACACAATAAAAAAATTATAAAATCATTTATAAGCTATAAAATATTATTTATAAATTGAAAATTCCACACTATTTTTTGTTTCAATAACTAAAAATCATTTTATAGTTTAATGAAATTTTTGCCATGAAAAAAAAGTGGAAACATCCGCGTAGTGCATGTATTTCCACTAGTGTTTGTTAATTGAGGTGCCTTCCTTTTTCTCATATGATTCGTGCGACATTTACCCTAGAAAACAATATGTGGACTTACTAGTGCCACTTTGCTTTAACTTTGATATCAGTCAAAAAAAAGATGTTAATATTTTTATACTATATTTGTAGTTCAAACAGGTTAGTGATTATATGAATTTATGTTTGTTAATAGAGGTTCCTTCCTTTTTCTCAGATGATTCAGGCGACATTTTCCTTAGAAGATATGATTAAGACGGAGTACTTGAGGAATGACTGGTGGTACTGGTCATCATTCTCAGCTGCTGCGAAATCTTCTACTTTGCCTTCCCTTGCCCTTCGCATATACTCTCTTGATTTAGCCATTATATACGAGAAAACGCCCAATTCTAGTCTTACTGACAGCTCTGAACCTTGTGGCACAGCAGAGACGAGACCACCGATGAATGTGGATGCAGAGAAATCCAAAGGAAGCCGGAAGTCAAACAGGAAAAGGAAGGAATCAGATGGTTGATCTTATACTTGCATTTCAGAAAATCAGATATCTGGTCAGTCTTTTTTGATGTGATGTGATCATCCACTGGTACGACTGGTTCATTGGGCAAACCTAAGGCTGTAAATGGGGCAGCCACAGCTGCTGGTGTCTCTTGCCTGCTTGTACATATAGGTAAAGCTGACCTGCTAACTCGGATGCCTTTTTTTGGCTAAGCAGAATTTATAACATTATCTGCTTTCAGTGAGGGCAACAGTACGAGGGAATTGTAAGGATGCGTCCAATTTTGAAATTATAATTCTGCTGCAGATGTCCAGTTGGCTGCTCCATAGCGAGAAGAACCATTTTTCATTTTTCTAGCAGAGTCTGATCCATATATGTATACAAATGGAATTATTGTAAAGGAATAGGAGGAAAGTAGTAAAAAAGAAAAGGATGGGAAAGAAGTCAGAAAATGTTAAGTTGAGCAGTTGTAGGCAATATTTCATTCTTTATACTTTTTCTCACCCACCCCACCAAAGGTCCTGCACACGCATGCCCTTGATTTTGTTCCTGGGCATCTGCAGATGTGTTAGAATGCTGGGGGAATTATTGGAATTAAAGCTTTTTTTCCATCTGCTTTGTGCTTGCGTCGTGCGTGATCTTCTTGATTTTTTTTATTTGCAGAATTCCTATAATCTTCTAGTCATGTGTGTTGGGGTTAGTGTATACACACTAATATTTGACCCCCTCCTTCACTGTTTTCGCGTCAATTTAAGTATTTAGTTACAGTTTGGGGGTTACATTCTTATAGCACTGCTGTGGGGTATGTTTGGTAGTTAATGATCTGTGGTACTACTTCATGTGCATTGCACGTGCCGAGGTAGTACTTGCATGGATTTTTCTGTCTATATCCCTCAATTTACTTGTGACATCTTTCTAGTATTCTGATTCATATTTCAGAAACAGAAAGTCCATTTCCTCGTTATGCAGGTGTCAATGACAATTGTGGGGTGGTGGAAGCTGGATACCACTTTCATAACGTGGTTACTGTGTGTTCGTGAGGTAGATTGAGTGATTTCTGCAAATCATTGTTTGCTTGATTATGATATTTAGATCAGTGAATTATTCTGTGTAATTAAGTTGCATGTACTTATTGTTACTTTCAGCAAATATAGTGCTGGAAGCCTCCATCTTATCTTGGAAGAAAATTCGTACTGAATAGTGAGAAATTGAAGTTGATCCGTGTAGTTTTTTCTGTTAATTGCAAGTCTCCGGTCTCAACCAGAAGTTTTGACTCTGGATGGTGTTGGATTAGATTGTACATTTTATATAAAAGATTTAAGAAAAAAAATTATCATCCCTACCTCGCCATCTTTCTGAACACTTTGTTGTCTATGTTTTGAATACATGAAGTTGCTGATAATATTACTAAATATACACATTGGCTATCATTAGTCATGGAAAGTATAGATAGTATTTATCTACTATTTAATCTGTAAATTTTTTTTACCTATGGTTTCGTTATTTGTCATATATTTGTGAATATTTTAAAAAATACTTTAAAACCTGTAGATATATCTATAGATATTTAATAAAAATATTTTATAATTTTTAAAAATAGAACTTAAATAAAATTAAAAATAGAAAATTTAATATAAATCAAAATTTAATTTAATTTAATAAAATGTAAATTAATTTAAATTTAAATTTAATTTAACTTAGTAAAACATAAATTAATTTTATCTGTCAATATTTGTGAACAAGGATATATTTTTCATCCTATTTGCCATGATTAGGGTGCGAAAATAATATTATCTGATGAAAAGTAGACAGTTTGTACTCTTTGCTACCTTTGTGGGCCTCACCCGCGATGTGATTCTGGATTATCTTATCCAAATGGTTTTCGAAAATTGAGGATTTAGGAGGGTAAAAAGAAGAACAACTTAAAATCTATGTATGGACTTACTAATTAACTGTGTTTTTATACTTAAACATTAAATAATCTTACTGTAGTTTTGGAAGAAGTACAAGCATTAACCCACACTTGACATTATTTGACGAAATTACTACTACTAGACTTTATTTATTAAACTTGGCAAAAGGACACTCCAACTCCTAGGGGTCGTCCAAGCCACCCGGGCGTTTACATTTTTCTCCTTGCCCACACCATACATCTAATTATTCAATATTATTATCATTACCTTCTCTTAATTATGCCTCTAATTTCATGTCTGCTGCTGCATTATCATTTATCCAACATAATACATATTGGTCCACCAAACCAATCCCTCTCCTTCCTCATGGTTTTGGTTCTCAGTTTCAGATACCACAAACACATCCATGTAACTCCTCCCATCATCACTTCCATCCTCCTCCTCCGACTGAACTCTTTCAACTGGGCCCACACATCCACCAGGGTTCTCAGCCGGAAAGTGTGAATCAACACTGTCAACCACCAGCTGTGGACTACCCTCATCCACCACTGCACTTCCAACAGACCCACTGCTCTGGTGGTCCTCTACCCTTGTGCTGAAAATTGAAGCTATATCTTCTACCGGAAGTGGATCAACTTTCTTGTCATACAATGCTTCCTCAGGCACCTCTTTAGCTTGAACTTGAAGCTTCTCATTTAAGGATACCACCTGCGGAATAGTCAACATGTCATTAAGATATTCAATCCACCACACTTTAAAAAAAAAGTCCACTTGTTAATTAGTTTATGGCCTAGCTTGCATACTCTTTTTTTTTTAAAGTTCATCGGTCCCTTTCAGAAAAGGGGGTCTTAAAGCATATTTTGAGAAATCTACAGAGGTATATTCGCATAGTTACTCTGAAAGTGGCTTCTTTGCAAACCAGGTGGGGTTCAGAACAGATGCTACTCTTGGTAGTTTGTGATTATTATAGTGTCGAATCTCATGTGTAGGGCCCTTTCTTGATAGCTACCAATCATCTTCTATGTCAAGTGTCGACTTCTTTCCCTATGCTATGCTATGATGGAGTTCTGATTGTGAAGCCACTAATTCTATCCTATAGTGTTCACAGACAATTTATATTCTATTCTACTCTATTCACCCAATATTTCATCACACATCTACCATACCTATAGCTGTAAGTAACCATTGCACCATTCATTGTAGGGATGTACAACCACATTAGTTCTCCAAAATAATAAGATATTGTCCATTCTGGATCAAGTCCTTACGGATTTGCTTTTGGTAAACTTATATTCATCTCTTATTTTTATTCGATGTGAAACTTTTATTTGTGTCCTAACATTCACGTCTTCTCAAGTTGCATATATGAGCAACCAAATCTAAATTAAAAAATCTCAACTCCCCTGTTGCCCAGATACAATGATTTTACTACTTTTCCAATATTTTATCCATGCATAAATGTACCTCAGATTTCAGTTTCTCATTCTCCTTCATGAGTGAATCATAGGATGAAAGAAGGGTATCGTATGAAGACTTGAGAACATCAAAATCCCTTTCGAGCTGTTTGGTCTTCCATCGAGCCCTGCGGTTCTGAAACCACACAGCTACCTGCCTTGGTTGCAATCCCAGCTTCTTGGCCAACTGGGTCTTCCTCTCAGGCTCCAGTTTGTTCTCTTCCTCAAAGCTCTTCTCCAACAGATGGACCTAACCATCAATCACACAAGACTGTCACAACATTATAATATTCACGGCAAACTGTCACAGGAATTTGCCTTATACATTATCTCTCTCATCAGATCCATTACTAAATTAATAACACCACCAACCATTCAACTCCATGACAGTTGTCTTCATTTACTACTAACAATAAGAAATGGTTTCAAAATCAATCACTTTATAGCTACAAAATGGAATTTCTCTTTAAATCCAACCATCTTTTTTTCCATACACTATTAAATTTAGAAGCCAAACTCAAAGCAATTCATTCAAATTGCTGATCAAAACAACAACAACAACAAGAAATAGCAGTTCATTCAAATTTCAACCTGTTCAGAACTGAGGCGATGCTTCTTCTCCGGCATCTGCTTCTCATAATACTCCTCGTCATACAGTTCATCCGGTGAGGTGAAAAAAGGTCGCCTCTTTGAGGCTTCCTCCAAGCTCATCATCGATCTCCCTGCTTCCATTTCAATCCCAAAACCAAAACTTCATCAATTAACTCTCTTTCATGTCTCAACATAATAATTCACACACGGAATAAATATAGAAATTTTATTTCCTTATTTGTCACTCTAAAGGAAGTTGCTTCCTTTATCACAACCCCAAATCGAATCATGCCTTTTTTAAGCTTTAATTTTTCCTTAACCAGAACCATCTCTCTGTTCCTAACTCCCCAGCAACCAAACACATCAATTTTAGAAGCACAAAACCTTGGATGCGGTTTCTTTACATGTTTTTTAAAACTTTTCTTCAATCAATATTAGAGTTTCATGTAGACAATTTAGGCAATGATGATTTATACTAAAGATCAACATAAATTAGAGGTGAAATTCAATTGTTTTGACAATCTGCTTAATAATGAGTCATATTATGTTGTTGTAAACATAACTGAATAACTGACTTATGTCAGACAGTTACTGGGTGCCATGCACACTCTATATACTTCACTGTTTTTGATTCTTTCAATACAGTTAATATTCCCCACTCTCTCTGTGTGTGCTATCTCTGCTGTTTACAAGTTTCTTCTCTGCATACTGTTACGTTAACATATTAAAGGTCAACATAAATTGATGAGGCAAGATTCCCCTTTTGAAGGAAGAACACCAAATACCATAAAAAACACAAACAAAAACTACTCCACAACATACCATTCAAATCCAAATTTTCGATACAAAAAAGGTATCAAGATAAAACTAAGAAGATGAATTCAAGAGCAAGGAGCGAAAGAAAATGACCTCGGAAAGCGAGTTCAGTGTTGCCGAGGAAGAGCATGTTGGTGTTCCCGCGAGAAGCACAGGCATCAAAGAAAAGCCGTCCAGACTCCATGGCACTTCGATCACTCACCACCGCCGGAGACACTTTCCAGCGAGAGAAAGAGATTAGTACTTAAAAAAGTGTTTTTTTGTGTGTTTGTGGTTGTTTTTTGCGGTTTACTCTGTTTTACTAGAATCTTGTTTGAAAATTTAGAAGGGTTGCTGTTGTTGTTGTTTTTGCTGAGATTTTTGCTTTTGTGTGGGAATTATTAGAAGATCATAAGCTTATGACGGAAGAAGCTCGTGGTCCAAAGCAACCTCGCCGGAGTCTCCAATGGGCATATGCAAGATCCCATCATACACCGCCAGATCCTACCCACCACCCAAGTTCGTCCTTTTCTGGCCTCAGTTTCGTGTTCGAGAAAAACCTCAAACACCGTCGTCGGAGTCCCGGAGAAATATTTTCCGGCGAACCTCTTTTGCGTTTGTGTGTATCGTCAACGCACTGTGTCTTTGCGAGTGTCTTCTGCGACTAAAGTTGTCCGACCCATGGCCACCGCTCTTTATAGTACTTTCTTCCTTCTTAAAAGACCAAATTGCCCTTTATTACGTTTTTTTTCTTAATTAATCATTTAATCTCTCCATTAATTTACTTTTGTTTAATCTAATTTACTTTTTCTTAAAAAAATGTCAATGTTTTTACACATCTTCAATTCAAAATTGTTATAGTTTAACTAGATGAGTATATTCAAAATGGAATTACATATAGTTCATTTAAACTTCTTAACGTTACATTACCATCCTTACATGTTGATAACTTTCCATCCTTACATGTTGATAACTTTTTGTGTAATTTTAACATCATGAAAAAGAAAAGAGAATAACTTGATTTAGCAAGAACTACGCTGTTAAAAGTTTCATATAGACTAAAAGCTAATTTAAGATATACAAAATTAGGTTTAAAATTCACTCTTTAATATCTCAACTTCAAATATTGGAGTGTCATCTTTTATATTACTTGCATGTGGAAATCATGGTTGCAGAGAAAACTTAAATGGCTATCTTAGGATGATAGATCATAGACGCCATGTTCAAGATCCCAAAAGCATCATCACTTGGAAACTGAAAAAGCCAGAATATGAAACCTGCTTTGTCATGTCACAAAAGCTTGCATCAGATGAACAGAAAAAATAAGAAAAGTCATCACATTTCTTTGAAGTTTTGTTTTCAAATTCAATTATATATTCATTATTGAGCAAAACGATCGATCCTTTTATTACAACATGGTAAAAGAATTTCCATTTTTAAAGAAGAAACTGTTGCTGATTTGCCTGTGTTTTGTCTTTTAAAATTTGGTCATACTAAGAAATAGTTATGTTAGAGAGTGATGAAAAAGAGTTAGTTTGAAGATTAATAAAATGAAAAAAGATTGGAAGTGGAATGAAAATGGTTGGGCACATGGTTGTGTTTGTTGTTGCAATTTGGAAATTCCCCTCTGCTCTCAACAGAGCCAACATCTCCAACGCATCATAAACAGTGTCTGTAATTAAACTATGTATGGAAGATCCAAGTAGACACTTAAAAAGCAAGTGCTTTCCGTTGTCAAGCACATGGTGGGGTTTCTTCAACATCTCAAAATGAAGACACAAAACAAAATATTATTAGAAAAAAAATATATTTTAACATAATCTTTTACAATATATTAGAAAGTTGTTTTTAACCTAATCGAATTCATACGACATATTCGTATGATAGATATTTACATTCATTTATATATTATAATTTACTCTTATTTTTGTCGATGTGAAACTTTCACACAATATTATAAATGATATTTATTTATTTTTAAGTTAATTTTGTGATAAGAATAATTAGACAATGTTATAGTTTAGTTTTTGTAACTTTTATTTCATCACATCACTTATGACTAGTAAGACATCTTTGTGCAAGAGTCTTAAAAGATCATTCATTTTAAAAGTGTTTTTGTTTGTTAAAATTCTTGAGAGCATAATAAAATTGCTTTTAAGGTCAAAATGTTTTTTTTCTGGTTCTTATGATTTAAATCGTTAAATTTTGTTGGAAATAACTTTTTTTTAGAAATAAAAATCTATAAATAAGAGAAGAAATAAAAACCTGCAATAAAATATTAAGATTTATGTAAACAAATAATTAATAAATATGATTATTTAACAAAAACTACAAACTTTCTTGTATAATATTTCTTTTTTGATAAAAAGTACAAATTTATCATGACCCAATTATCAAAGTCTCTTATACATTCAATAAACTCTTTGGTTTTATAGTAATTTCATATTTTTTTCTTTTCCGTACTAATCAAAGGTGAAACTTAGTAGATACCAATAGAGAACAACGAATTTTAATGCATGTAAAGATTCGGTAAAAACTAAATTTTATACTTGTAACTGTGAATAAAATGCTCTTAAAAAGTCTAAATACAATTTTAATTAAATAAAAAATGTATGTAAAAGTTATCGTAATAAGATATTTACTAGCTTATAACACTCAAATTTTATATTTATGACTGTGGGTATAATATAGTTAAAAATTAAACATGTAAAAATAATATTATAACGACTTATTTACTGGTTGTATGGATGGGTGACGAACTTCCCAAATATTAACTGTTATTTTTGGTGAATTTTACAATATGATTAAATATATTTTTTGCATCCATAAAATTAGAATTGGGATATTTGATTTGAAAAATGTGGATTATGCATGATATAGCACGTGGTGATGGAAAGCCTAAGACAATGGCAGACACTTAACCACCATTTTAATACATCTTCATTTCTTTACCTTTCCAAAACACCATCCTCATCCATTGAACCCATCTTATTATCATCTATTCATAATTTACACCTTAAATTATAGGTTTGATAGTATATTTTTGTTCTTTCATAAATGATTCAATACTTTTTCTCTATTTAATTTTATTAAATGTGATATTTATATTTATAAAATAAAATTAATGTGGTTCCTCTTGTTAAATTATTATTGATGTCATTTAGAAGATGATGAAGTTGACATCTTTTAATACAACCATTTTTACTTTTTCTACTCATTGACCAGTCCAAAAAATAATATGAAAAAAATGACTTTACATTAATATTAATATAATAGAATATTAATATAATAGAAGAGATCACATTCAATAAAATATAAATAAAAAATATATAAATACAGAGAAAAAAAACTATTAAACTTAAATTATATTTTTTATCTCATAAAACCTTATTTTCATTTTTTATTTATTGGTTTTATATATGTTTCTATTACATTTAATACTTTCATATACTTAAAGAGTCGAAATCAAATATAATTTAAATATTTTTTCTATTTATCAAGTCTTTTAAAGACAAAATTATGATTAAATTTCAGTTTCTAAAAAAGATAATATTTTGAGTACGATGGTTGATCTAGAAATATCATTCAACGGACTTTGAATTGAAACATTGAAGTTTACCGATTTCTATCATATTTAATAATTTCACACTATTAATTTAAATACTTCTTTCCCTTCTATATACCAGAACAAAATTGTGACGAATTTGGATTAAAAAAAAACTTATTTTTTAATTTATTATGATTTTGGAATTCAGTATGATTTTCACAATGATTATATCTGTTTTAGTTTGAATATAAATTTAGCTTGAAAGTGAATCTAATAGAAAAACTTTAATCAATAAAAAATAGTTTAAATCCTATATTATAATGACTAAGTGACCCTTTTTTAAAAGATGACTGATCAAAATGAACCTTTTTTAAAAAGTAAAAACCAAATTAAAACTTATAAATAAATAACATAAACGACAAAAATATAATTGGGCCTATTTTAGTGAATGAGTTCTAACTGGAAATAAAAATTCAAGAAAGTTGATTTTTTATTTATTTTCTATTTAAGATAATGAATAATGAAAAAGAAAGAATGGGTAGGCAGATAGAGTTCCATGCATGATAGCAACATAACTAAAAAACTGATATTTCTATTTGGATAAGGTGGCATCCTTACTATGTACATTACATAACAGATGGGGTCTATGCAATATGCATTCAAGATCTCATTATTGGAAAATATTCATAAAGTAACCAAGACAAAAACTCATTAAGAGAAATTATATGCTCTATAATATTATGGTAAGTTTTTTCACAATTTCATATCTTCTAAAATATTTATAGTAAATATGTATCACCTAATACTAATTAATACCTAAAAAATTATAAACACTTTTAATAATTCAACTCTCCAGCTTCTCATGTAAAAGTGATTATTTTGCATTTAGCAAAAACCTCATTTAAATTCCCAATCTCTAATATCAAAATTCATTCAATTCAATAATACATAATATATTTATTCATAAACTTCCAATTATATTTCTAAAGTTTTTACATACAAAACCTTATTCAAAATCAGTAAGAATCTCCAACTTCTTAGTTTATTTAGAAAATTTGAGTAAAATTTCCGTATTAAAAAAAACATGAAATCAACTGTGGAAGAACATAAAACTTATGAGTCAAAATTTTGATTAATCTATCTTAATAATTTTTTATTTTGGAAAGAGATAATACAAAAATTTTATTTTATTATAGAAATAAATTTTCATAATAAATAAAGAATGAAATAATTTGAAATCTATTTATAGTTTTTTTTTTCTTAAAAATATTTCCATCATCTATTTAATTTAACTCAAACTCAAATCAATTGAATTTTACTATAAAAAAGTGTACTTTTTAAAAAATTTAATGGTAAAACAGACAAGAAAAAAAACCCTAAATAGTAAAATATATGAAAATGATTGAAATGTGATAAGGTTAAGTAAATTAGAGTGGGACACCATAAATGAAAGAAAATGACTGGTGGATTGGATTTGAATGTTATTTCACATCTAAACTATATTTCTTTTTTCATTAGTCTCTGTCTCTGTCTCATATATTGCGTAGAAACAGCGTAGCATAAATATGTATTATATGAATGGTGAAAAATGGTTGTAATAATAATAATAATAATAGAAAAAAAAAGGTATAAATAAGAATAATATTCGTAACTTGTGAATTACGGTGGTGCTTGCGACCTTCACAGAAAGACGTTGAAATGGCACGCGTATTTCACATCATATTCTATTCGCATCACATTCCAAATATTACTTCAACACGCTTAATCCGTTTTAGGTTTAAATATATTCATTGTAAGAAACTATAAATTAGTTTAAGAGTAGAATTTGTTTTAATACGTTTATTTTATTTTAGAAAAGGTTGGAATTATAGATATTACTTCTATTAACAGGGTTAATTTTTATAAAGATAATTATTTTTCTAGAACTTATTTCTAAAGACTCTTTTTTTGTTTTTTCTTTTAGAAATTTTAACTTTATTTTAATTCTTTTGAATGTTAGAGATGGTAGGATATTGATTCTCAAGAAGAGTGCTCTACAAGCTTTTTATCAATTTTTTTCTTTAGAGCAAGTTCATTTTCTATTTTTTTTTCTTTTAATAAGTAATTTGTTTTCTTTGCGTGTGACTTTTTTCGA